GACATTTTTCATTTTTCCTTTCTGTTTAGCTATTACTCATTTCAGACTTTGAAATTAGAAAACTGTAAGTTTAGCCCATTCTAGCATACACACTCATTTGACTAGATCTAAGTAACATGAATTAACTAAAAGACCAGAGATCTAAGGAGATTGTGTCCCTGAATTTAATTAGACAGATAGGCTTCCTCTGGAGGTCTTCAGAGACATCCTCCTCTCTACTATGTATTTTCTTGAGTGACTTCACTACAATTCTATGTTATAGGTGCAATTTAAATGACCAGATTATACAGGTCAAATATACAAAATATTTGTATTTTTATACTACACAATACAAAAGAAGAGGCCCAGCCTTAATAATGGGAAAGTAATTGGGCAGTAGTTATTCCAGATGCTTATAAAAGAAATGTATTAAAAAATTTAGAGAAACAATATTCACCTTTATTTACGTTCACTTATATCCAGAAGTTGTTGCATCAGCTCAGCAGCAATAAGCCTTTGCTGATTACCTATGTCTCCTCCTTGTTGCTATGAGAAGATCACTGTGGTTTCTGAATAAATGGGTTTCAGCCACACCTTAGACTATGGGCTTTACATCCAGGGTATGGTTCAATTTTCCTGTAGTGTGAGAGTAGAGAGGAGGATGTCTCTGAAGACCTCCAGAGGAAGCCTAACTGTCTAATTAAATTAGACCTTAGACTATGGGCTTTACATCCAGGGTATGGTTCAATTTTCCTGTAGTGTGAGAGTCAGTTTCCATGTTTTAAGAGTGTGGATTGTGTATATAGAAAGGTATTTAGATGTTTATTGGGACTTCCGAAAGCGTCTAAGTGCTTGAATTGTCAGAGTTTGTTCCTGGTACCCAACTACTCCTACACGACCTTCATGGCACCCAACTGCCTTGTTAAACAGTTAAATACTTGTTAAAAACTAGGCCCACAACCTTACTAAGGACGGGTTTGGCCCAGAACTTGTTTTTCAGCCATTCAATTTAATACGATTATTTCCCTACTATGGAAAATAATAGCTGATCTACCTTCCAAAGTACTGCTAGAGGTCAGAACCCATTCTTGTGGTTCCAGCCCGAACACTGGAAGTTATGGTGCAGCATTAACATAACTTCAAATGCCAGCCAGAAATAGCCCAAACCTGTTTGTGTTGGGCTGACCCTAAGATTTCTCACTGCTATTAAAATAGACTCTTCCCTCTTAAAGTGCACTGAGAGACAATTTACCAAGGATGTTGTGGGTTTTTTTCCACTGCGTGGGGGTTCTGCCCCACTGAGAGCACCGAGAGCTCTCTCGGCAGCGAGGCAGGAGCCAAGCATGAGGCTCTGACTCGTATCTGCAGGTGGATTAGGCAGGAGGGCTGAAAGAGCCATTGCCCTGCTGCTGTGAACATAGGCAGTTTAACACAGCTGGAGCATGGGCAGGCAGGGATGCAAGAGCTACCAGGCTCCAGAGATACTGCAAAGAGGAGGTTTTTCAAAGCAGAATTCCTCAGAACAAGAAAAAGTCCAGAATGGGAATGAGTCTTGTAAGTGGCATGGCTTGGTTCCCTCTCCTGCTGTCCACCGTGACGGAAAGCTGGTGAGAAATAGCTGTCACCTGCACACTGAATGGAGGACGGGGGACTCTGTGGCTGTATTAATAAATTAAATAATGCCGGACACCAGTCTCTGGCCCCAAAACCAACTGGAGTGGCGTTGCCATGCTCCCAGTGTTAAACTGGACCAGGGGGCATGCTAACAATTCAACTGCACAGATGACCAGGTTGCAGTTGTGTTGCTGTCACTTGGATTTGTGACATAGCATTTTTTGATGTACTAGCAAGAACACGGTCCGTACATAATCCTACACTGATATTGCTCAACAGGCACCCAGGTTTGTGGGACATTTGCAGCTCCAAAATCCATTTTCCTCTTAGTTTGGGAGCTGTCTCTGTTGTTCGCTATTCTCATACCTTCCTGGATTTCCATGAATTTCTGCAGAAATTCAAACTCTAGGTGCTGGCACCCTGTTGCTCCTGCCTCTGGTTAAAAAAAAAACCCACAACAAACTACAGCCCCCTCCACGCAGCAGGGCCTGTCATTATCTTGCTAATCAAAGCAAGCACTGTCAAAGGACCTGCTGAAAGGAGACTTGCATATATACGTCAAGCTTGCTCCAATTAAAAAATTGCTCATTGCCTAATTCATTAAACAGTAGGAAGCAGAAATGAAGCTTTAAATTTAGCAGAGATGCTACTGCTAATTATTAACCACAGTCTCTCATTAAGCCATTGCCTGTCATTCTAACAAACGATATGAACAAAAGAGGATAAAATATAATCTACTAATGAAATTGTAATCTAATGATATCCAATCAAACAAGTATGTGGTCATTTTCTCAAAAGATCAACCGGTGGCTTTATCTTGCTATTGCTAATTAACTGGGGCTTGAAAATAACGTGGATTATTTCCATATCACATTCCTTACTGTCACAAATACGGAGGGAAGAGTACTCAGCACTTGACCAAGAAGCCCTGCTGCCTGGTGTAACTCCGTTTGCTACCGTTGTACTCCTTTATGTGATAAGGGACAATTATCTTCACAGGACAGCATCTCCCCACGTGACTCAGGTTAGACTACTCTCATGGCCAAAGGAGATGCTTTGTGTAGATGTTACACAATTCACTGCTCTACCTGCCGTGTTCAAAAGCAAATTTGAACAACTCTTATCTGCTGTATTCATCACATACAAAAGGCAGATCGATACCCAATTGCTCTGTCCAGGTAGCGAGCTAGTCATTTCAAAACCACCCATCACAGTTTTGCTGAGGCCACTGGTTTCTCCCTGTGAATGATGGAATTGTTAAGGTAAATGCTGCCTTTGTGAGCCTCGGGACAATAGCTGAAGGCTATGTTTGCAGCTGTCATCCTTCACAAGAAAATGTAGATCATAATGTCCCATTTTTTTCTGTAAGACTTGGATCAACTTGAATCCAATGGACCAATACTTTTGTTTTTCTGTGGCTTTTTCAGTTTTTCTACCTGGATTTGCAAATCTGAAGTGGCTACTAACAAAAAGTTATGCTTTGTGATCTCTGTGAAATCCTGCCATTACCTCGGTTTAACTCACGGGATTCCCAGGAAAGGATATTCAAATTTGAGCTTGCATCTAAAAATACACTAATGACAAGTATCTTCCTCTCAAACTCATTCCCCTGTCTCCTACCATTAAGGAAATCAATTATAGAGGATCCCAGTGTGACAAACCCAGCAAGAGTAAAAATTGTAGGATTTAACTGATGTTAATTGTAGATGTTGGAAAGTTAGTTGCCTATGTGTCAACTGCTCGGCCACAGTCACTTCAGAGTCAAGAGGCAATTGCAGAGGGCAATTAATTTGACCCATGTTTGCAGCTCTATCAGCCTGAGAGAAACTGCCTCCTGGAAAAGCCTGGTTGTGTCCACTGACTACAAAGTGTCTCAGTTAATTAGCTTTAGCCTAGCCGCCTTTTAGACAGGTAGTTAAATGGAGATGAATGCCACCTTACATCTGTCATTCATGACATGAAGATAGTATTACGCATTGATAGAATTCACAGTATGTAAGAAATCACAGGTTTGGGTTTCAAGCCTTTATAAATATTTTCCAGGCTCCCTCTTTGATCAAGACCTCAGCACTTGACAGGAATGAACTTCACTCGACTCTCCTTTACTTTTCAGCACCACTGAAATGCACCAATATTTGAATCTGAGTTTCACAATATTTGGGGTTTTTAACAGGTAGCTTTAAAAAAACCCCTATCCTGTACAGCTTTGTTTTGCAGTTCTGAGCACACCACAATTCAACACTTCCTGGAGCTAATTAAGGGTTATACTTTTTCTTTGCTCCAGAGGTTCATTTTAAGACAGATCCAAAAATGGCTAAAAGAGCACTTGAAGAGGCTCTTTTCTGAAACAGATTGTTAATTAACCTTCCCCTTTTCTGTGCTTGCTGAAACCTGCATGCTCTTTTTGCTAATTCCTCATCTCTTAACCTGTCATTTAAGCCTGTGCCCTTGGCCTTCAGATCCAAACCTTCATCTTTCTTTGGCTTGCAGATAGGTCAAAGGGTTGGTCCTTTAGTCCTTTATATCCCCCTCCCAGACTTGGCTACGAGGAAGATTGTGAAAGCTTCTGTAAACTGTCAGCATTCTCCCTTGTTACTGCCCTTCTCCTTTATTATCAGTGAACTTCAAGGGTTTATTATTAGTGCAACATGTAATTTGTATTAGATTTCGTGACTGTCTAATTAGCATTAGCAATTCAGTACAAAGCTATCCAGAAGGTTTACATTCATCTTGCCAGGACAGTTCCATGCAGTTAAAGGAGTAAAAATGAAAGCATTTGTCTATAATTACCTATTATGGAAAGATTAGCTGATGTGGTGGATGCTGCATTCCCAAATCAAGATATTCCTACTCCTTTGCTCGAAGTGGTTGGGCAGTACGAAAGGCCATCCTAGTCTTCACAGTTTGTTTTAATGTTTTCCTGGAATACGCTGGAAAAAAATGCAACCCAGCACCCACCAGAGCCTTTCCTGGAGCCTTCATCCTCCATATCCCTCTGCCAAGCACTCATGTTTGCTCCCCTTGCTGCCTGCAGTCTTCATTTGGCACAATTTAAGCTGCAACCACTCCTGTTACTGCTGATATCATCACAGCCTGGTCTCATTAGCTTGTGATTGACTTTACCATGCTGCCCACAGCCTTGGGAAGTAGCTTATTGTCTCCAATGTCCAACACATAATGGCATATTTGATTGTGTTTTCCACTTAGCATGAAAAGCCTACCACACTTTTGCAGCTCTTAATAACTTTGGAATGACACCCTATTTGGTTCTAGCCTGACCACATTTGCGAATAGCAGCATTCATGTATTAGGACTGGAAAAAACATTAATAAAAGACGTCAGTGGTAAGAAGACTGGACAGGTGGATTACAGAAACAAATGTGGGTATTAAAAAGTAGGACCTTTACCTTTTGAAGCGAGCAGAAGTCTCTTCATGGCTGCCAGTGCCTCCCTCTGCAGCAGGGGCAAGATTCCAGCTCCACTTACACTCACACCGTGGTCCTGTCTTTCTCCTTGGCCCCGGTGGCCCTACTTAGAGTTTAACACTAGAGCTACCAGCTTTCTGCTCATCAAGGGAGGAATTTGTCTGGACCAATGCCGGTGGCCCTCCATCTGCATCAGTCGCCAGTGCTGCCGTTGTCAAAGGAGAGGCATGCAGAAGTTTTAGGCTGTGATTCATCTGATTTATTTTAGATGTCTACATTAAGATGACATGAATCACATCTTTAAACTGCCTGTTTCTCACCACAGAGCTGAGAGTGACAGTGATTTAAATGTATATTGTCGGCATCTACACTTGCTCAAACAGAACCCCCGCAGAGGTAACACCTATATTAATGCTATAAGCAGTATCAGGGCCCCATTTCTGGGCCTGAGGCCAGCTGGCAGGAGCACGCCAGATAAATCATCTCCCAGCCTTCAAGGAGGGGTGGCGATGTGTGACCTGTCCACTGGCAAAAGCCCCCAGCCTGGATCGCTCCTCAGTTCTTCGCGGGAGCAGTTTTGGGGAGTGCTACTTGAATGAAACCAAAACCATGTCAAGGACTTTTCTAGAGAGTTAACAGTGTGGATAATCAAGCTCCCAGTCCTTGATCCACATCTTGGCACTCTTTATTTTACTTAATGTCTGTACCCAGAGTGTCATAGCTGACACTGCTGTTGATCTGCTCTACTGTGAGACAAATCACAGTTTAACATCACATGCCATCACCCAGTAACTTAAAGGACTGCACACATCTCCATCTGTTATTAAATAGTTATTTATGCCTGGAGGGAATGAGCTACAGGCATCATTCTGTGATGCTGTTCCCATGCAAGACCAAATCACGTACAAGCTTCCATCCACACCAGATACTACCTGTTCTCCAGGAGTGGAACCAGACCTTCCCTGCCTGCACTGACTTGCTGCCTGCTTATCCTGCCTGCTTACCAATAAAACCTTCCAGCCTACTGTTAAAAAAAGGAACAGCTTTGACAGAAGGGGTTCAACACCCTTTCTTTTTCAGCCAAAACCACATAGCTCAAAGTTTACATAGCTCAAAATTTACATCTACGGCTTTGACAGAAGGGGTTCAACACCCTTTCTTTTTCAGCCAAAACCACATAGCTCAAAGTTTACATAGCTCAAAATCTACATCTACGAGATGTAGATTTGAAGATCCTCAAGCAAAGAAGATAACAGAATAAATAATCTCTCCATACCCTGTTTTATTGCATTTTGGTTGGACTGAGCTCTGTAGGGCATCCGTCAAACCAAACCGCAGAATGACCGAGTCTTGGCAGGTCAGGGGTATGAGATAAACAACTCTGCACAGACATGTAGAAATCAAGATTATTCTGGCATGTGCAGAAGGAGAAGTCCCAGCACTTGGTTATACTGTCATAGAGAACTGAGCTGCCTGGGAAGTTCAAGCATCCCTGGTAGTAACCACATGGGAGTTTTGAAGATTTATGGCTTTGATTCCCAAAATATAGTTTAAGTTGTTTTCATGCTCAAAGATCTAGAAAGTGTCATTTCCTCATGGTGGTGTGTAAGGGCCACAGGGACACCTTCAACCTCAAAGATATATTCGTAACTGTGGGGACTCTGCCTGACAGCAACTTACATGGCTGCGCCTTCAGAGTGGAGGTGATCTTGGGCCACTGGTTAGAAAGCCCCATTCTGGGAGGATGATTGTCTTTAAGGAAAAAGCATTGTATTTACAATGATTTTTCAATTTGTATAGTTTGATGTTTGCAAACAAGGTAATTTGAACATACCAGATACCTTGGGGCAATGAAATACTTCATTTAAGGTTGAAAAAGAAATCAATGATCTTCATTCAAAATCATTCAACTTTCAAACCTTCCTACCCACGCTGATACCTCTGGTTCTTGGCTTGGTTGCAAAGTATCAGTCACCGATACGTGTCCTGGCACTTTCTGACCGCTGTATGGGTAAAGTCATTGTGATGTTTTTTACTGGTGGCCTCTTCTTGGCTAAGGGTCTTTTTTTCCCTTTTCTGTACACTTTGTACTTAACTTGTTGGTCAGTGCAAGTAGCACGTTACATGCTACAAAGAGGCTTTCCTATTTTCCTTCACACTAAGAAATTTCTATTTATGATGTATATTTGCCATGTGCAGCGCAGACATACTTTCCCCTCAATTGATGCTAAACCCTGAGTTCAGAGACGGTCAGTAAAGTTAAGTCACTGCTGTACGCCCTGGGCTCCAGGGGCTCAAGGAAAAGTCACTGTTGCATATGTGTTCCAGAGCAACACTGATGCAACCAAAACATTCATTAAAACCAGTCATGTAAGCATGTACCATAATCTGGTTGCAGCTGAAAAAAAGAAGAGATATCTCTTATGGTTCAAAAAAATTTGTAGACTCTTTTGACATGAATCCAGATGCATTCTTCTCATCGGGATGCTCAGTCAGTGCAGTGAAATATGGGAATGCTGCCAGAGACATCAAATTCACCATCAACCTTGCACACAGTTTCTGCGGCTTCATTGTGCGTTTAAGAACAGAACCAACTGACCTGAAAGACATATTGTCCAGATCACAGTTGGGATGTGAAGCAGGGCTAGAAAAAGCTTCTTTCTTTCTGGTTTTACTGCCTTGCTTTGCCAACAAATGATGAACTCATATTAAATATCTTAAAAGATGTTCCATTCTTGCTCAGAGTGGGTAAATCCTGTTTTTAAATGGGCAAGGTACTCAATTTTTCACTCTGGTATGGTTGGGATTGTAGTATAGCTATGTCATCTTCCAGTTAACACAGTAATGTGTTATGAAGCAGCAGACAGTCGCCAAAGCCACCAAGTCTGGAACAGGAATTGACATGGTGATACCAGGATGCTCAATCCATTTATCCATGTGCTTGCTTGCTGGCCAGGAGAGTATTTCTCCTCTCTCCCATCTTGGTCCCCCATGGAGACCAGCATGTTCTGGTCTGGTGTGATGTGGTCAGAGCAACATGCCTGGTTTATTGTCCTGCTCCAGCTGTGGTGATAACACACTGGGCTGCCCATCAGGCACTCCCAGACAGCTCTGCTCATGAGATTTATGTACCCTGTTATTCCTTTCCCCGCTTCTGGGCACTCCTTTTCACTGCCCTTGTATGTCCCTTTCTCCACCTCAGTCTTCTCTCAACAAAGCCATCACTCTCATTGTCCCCACTTTGCTGCTTCTGCACCCAAAATTGGTATTTTGGTACTATTACTTAGGTCACCTTGGACTTACATACTGCTGTTGGCAGGCTTCTCTAGGCACTGCTAGACTTACACGATTCTGCTCCCCAAGAGGTCCTAAATGCTCCCCAAAACGTCCCTCCAATTATCTGTGAAGCTCAGCCGTGAGGTTTCTCACGTAGCAACCCGTAATGACCTGTGAAATCCAGCCTTCCCTCACAGTGGGAGTGTAACTTTTGGCAGTCTGTCACATGGCCAGCGGCCACACGCAGCAGTTTCTCATGTCACATCCCATACTTTTCCACATCTCACTCAGGCAGCCCCACCTCAGCCCAGCGTTCAGTCGGTGACTGGTGGTCCTAACAAACGACATCACTCAGAGAAAGGTAAGCTCATCTTGGACCAAGAGTAGCTGATAATTATTTATCACTTTGTTCCGTATTTATTGCTGTTACTATGACAAACCAAGGCTATCTCTTCTAGGAAATAGTAATTTTCCTCTCCAAATTATTTGAAGTCCTCTGTTAAATTAATAGATGTGCTTTGGTATTGGAAGAATGAACACTGTCATCGCTGAGGATAAGGAGCTGGTAGCAATGTCATAGCAGAGGTTTCACTGAAATTTGTAATTAAAGCAGAGATAAAATCCCTTTATTTCATATTTTTATGATTAAATTTTGTCTCCATAACTCCTGCAGTAACTCTTCAGGGGACTATTAAATTGTCTGTATCATATTTTTAGAAAAAACATTCCTCCAACTATTGCTAGGGAACAATTTAAATTTCTCCATCCTGGATTTTAGTCTCAGCTTCAAGGATTTCTTCTCATCATCTGCAGCACAGCCTACATGCATCCTTAGACCACTTCTTCAAAGACAGATCAGCTTAAAACTCACACAGAAGAATGGCCTCTCAGTGTTTACCTGACACGAATCCCAGACAATTTTTTCTCTGCCAGGAAAAGCTCAGATTGGGGAATCATTCCCTTTTTAACAGAGCAGAGCCTGTCACATGCAGCCTTTGCTATTCCAAGACCTCTCCTTTCACAGGAGCTGCCCTCCTGCTTGGCCTCAGGGGATTAAGGAGGGAAGAGTCTGGATTTATCCTCTGCCTCATTGGAAACGACTCCTCCCACTTCTGTGGCTTATTCCGGGTGCAGCCCCAGCCTGTACCTGCACAGGAGGCTTGCACCGACCTGTTTTAGGAGGTACGAGCAAGAAATGGAAAACAGAAGTAGGGCAGGGGGAGGGAGACAGCAGTTGGGCCATACTGCCATGCTGACTCCCATGCCCAGCTCCCCCTGCCCGCCTGCCCCGGCTGGAGAGCTCTCATCCCCAGCTCCTCACAGCAGGAACGGGATGAATTGGTTTTGAATGACAGCTCCTTATTTCCTTGTCTTCAGAGTCTGCATTAATGAGATATGCAGATTAGCAAACCAAAGTTAATTATTTTTTTGACACAAACTAGGGGAGATGAATCACTGATGATTAAAGCAAGTTTAAGGTCTCTTTTTGCACGGCTTATGTAAAACAGAGGAAAACAGCAGTCTTGCACAACTCTGGTGGTGCCTGTAACACCCCTGAGGAAGCAGGGGTAGTTGCTTCCACAAGCATGTTTCACAGCCACCAAAATCATTTGAGTTTTGTGCAACAGGTTTCCAAAACAACTCAGGGCTTTGTTATATATGAGGAAAGTATCTGGAGGAGCTAATATTAGCCATAATGGGTAGGAATCCACTTGCTCAGGTTTCATCTACCTGAAGTTTAGATATCGCATTCACCCAGGTTCTTGGTACAATCCCTGGATAGAAACATGCAGTTCACATGACCTATCTAGATACACGTTTTCTAGTGAAATTAGTAGTTATCGTTCTTTACTACAAAGCCAGCCCAATATCCCTTCATCATCTCTGTAA